TGACTTTTAAAAATGACAAATTAAATCCCTGCTTTTATATAATTTTCCCTAAATGCTGGCCCAAAGCAACATATCCCATAGGCCCAAACTTATTCCGACCGTACACCTTGCAACTTTATTTTATTCAAAAAAAGTAGCCGTTGGATAGAAACTGCAACGGCTATTTATTGATACTAATCCTCGATTGCCCGTTAATCCTCTCTACAAATAAATATTTCTCTCTGATTTTTTATTACTACATTCAACCCCTTCCTCTCAATCTATCTCTATCTATCTGACAATCAATTTCTGATCTCAGTTTTTGAATTGGATTTCCATCTCTCTCTCTATATCAAAATCAAGATGAATGATCTGATGACAAAATCGTTCACGAGCTATGTTGATCTAAAGAAAGAAGCCATAAAGGATCTTGAAGCCGGTCCCGATATCGAAATGGGAACAGCCCAGTTGGACAATAACCTCACTGCATTCTTGGAAGAAGCAGAAAAGGTGAAGCAAGAAATGAACTCAATCAGAGAAATCTTGAACCATTTACAAGAAGCCAATGAGGAGAGCAAAGCCCTTCACAAACCTGAAGCCCTGAAAGCGTTGCGAAACCGCATAAATTCAGACATTTTATCCGTGTCAAAGAAGGCCAGAACCATAAGGGCTCAGCTGGAGGACATGGACAGGGCTAATGCTCTGAACAGGCGCCTTTCAGGATGCAAGTTGGGCACCCCTGTGGATCGGACTCGGTCTGCTGTCACGAATGGACTCCGAAAGAAGCTCAAGGAGCTGATGATGGACTTCCAGGGGCTGAGACAGAGGATGATGAACGAGTATAAGGAGACTGTTGGGAGAAGGTATTTTACTGTGACTGGAGAATATCCTGGCGAGGAGGTGATAGAGAAGATTATAACCAGTGGAGATGGCCATGGGGGTGAAGAATTTCTGTCTAGAGCCATACGGGTACTAATTTCTTGCCTTGTTTTACAAGAAAAGGCTGCTTTGTTCTTCAATTAGTACATTCTTAGAGAAATTATAATTATAAATATCAATTTACGAATAGGATGAGAACAAAACCCATAATCAATGAGTCTGAGGCGCGAGTTTTTTGGGGATTCAAGCCCTTTGGGGTGTTAAAAATATTAAGACTTGGGAATTCTTCTTAAAATGCCAACCTTTTTAAAAGGAATAGCACAATTCCTTACAAGTTGATTTATGTTTTCATCTTTATATTTTATTCCTTAAAATGCATATGTAAGATAGTGACTCATTTGAGCAAATTAATCTTAAAATCCGTATGCTTATTTTTTTTTAGTTTTAATCGGATCAAATTGTTTGTTGAAGCTCAATAAGCTTTAATACCATATTTTAACTTGGAGTTTCATCTTAAAAGTTTAATCTCGTTGAGTTTTTTATAAGTAGGTCTATGTTTTTAATCTTTATTCGACGTGTGATTTTATCTCTTAACAAATATGTCAACCATTGGTGCAACACCCAACTTCTCAACTTGTCTTCTCCACGATGCTGTGCAAAATGTTATCTTGTTTCGGCAAATGACTTGAACGCAACATATTTTTATAGGAGCATGGGAGGGGGAAGGTGGTGGAGACAGTGGTGGAAATCCAAGACCGGCATGACGCAGCCAAGGAGATTGAGAAGAGTCTGCTGGAGCTGCACCAGATATTTCTCGACATGGCGGTGATGGTGGAGGCGCAAGGGGAGAAAATGGATGACATTGAGCATCATGTGATGAATGCAGCCCAATATGTTAGTGATGGAACTAAAAATCTCAAGACTGCTAAAGACTACCAGAGGAGCAGCAGAAGGTGTTTGTGTATAGGAATGATTCTTCTTCTTGTGCTTATTCTTGTTGTAATCATCCCTGTTGCCACCAGTTTCAGTAACTCTTGAATTTTCACTTTTCTTTAGGCTTCACTGTTCACTCTCGTGATATAAATGTAGCAATTTGTGAAAAACTGGTCCTGTTTTGGGACCAGTTTTTGTAAACATTTAGCCCCCGTTTGGCCCCCATTTTTCTCCATTAAATTATAATTCATTTTTTTCTCTCTTCTTACTAACCACACATTTTCCAATAAAATAATATTACACGTAAATCCAAAAAAAATTCTTTCTTTTTTAACCACACATTATCCAAAAAATTACTATTCATCTCATTATAATGTGGAATAATGGGGGCCAAACAGACACTTATCAGAATCCTGTTTTATAATAAATGAAGAAAAGTTTGGTTGTTTGGTCCTGTTTGGCCTTCTTTCGTACCTACATATGTCTCGAGAGGTGTAATTCTTTGATACGATATGTTTGAAAGGATGCTAGAAGGTTCTTGCTCGCGCTATCTACGATGCAATATCGCAAATGTAGTGGTTGTGAACAAGTAATATTTTTGTTAATTAAATAGAATAATAGAATATTTTAGTAATTTTAATAATAATAGAATATGTAATTCGTGTAAGGGTCCGTTTAATAGCAAATGTGGAAAATAGGTTAAAAGAAAATTTTTTATAGGGAATTGAATTGTTTAGAAATTGTTTTACTGAGAATTGTAATTAATTGTGTTTGATTAGTATAATTTTCCACCTGAAAAATGTTAAAAGTTTCCGTTTGGCTTCGTTTTTTATGGAAATTGTCCATGAAAGCAATAATTTTTTCTACCATTGAGAGTAGAATTTGTTCCAATTGTCAAAAAAATAAAAAAAAAAAATTTACCATATTGAATACCATTCGTTTGACTTTATTTTGCATGAAAATTGTCCATTAAATGAAAAAAAATTTTTTACCATTGTTAATAGATTTTTTTCCAATAACAAATTAAAAAAAAAATGGAAAATCGTTTTTCCCACCAAAATGGTGGGAAAACCAATTCATTGTTTTCAAGGAAAAAGTGGGTGGGGGGAAAAATAAAATTATCACCTTATTTTTGAATAAAAGACTTTTAAATCTAGTTTTTGAATTGAAAAGTTAAAAAAACATGTGGGAGTGTAATTTCCACTTAAAATCTTGCTAAGTAACTTTTGAGCACAACCAAATATGTTTTGGACTTTTTTCCCGTGGTTTAGTAGCAAAAAGGTCTAGTTCTTGAGATGAAGCATTGGCCTTTAGGCAAGTAGAAATTGGGCTACTATTAGTGGCGCTTTTTGGAAGGTTTGACTGGAGAGGGTGGGCCATGGGGTTGGCCCAACAAATTAAGCCCAGAAGAAGAATTTCCACTTTAAGGCAAAGGGTCAAAATTCAGTCAGAACTCATCAAGGGGCCTAAACAAGATTCAAGCCCATTAACCTATCAGGCCCCAAACCAGCAGAAAATGAACCAATAGATGAGTGTGTTCCAGGCCTAATTTTCACTATTACATAAATGATTGTCCAATAGAAGGGAGATAGGGAACTGACATTCTACTTTCATTTATATGTAATTTAGCTTTTTAAGTGGAGCTAAATATGTTAATATAAATATTGTTCGATCTTTTTATCATGACTTGGACGCTAAAAGTTTCACAAAGGGACGCTAAACTAAATAATTTGAGAGTTTCTAATGAGCAAAAAATAGAGTTTTTATTGTTTTTAACCTAACCACAAAATGGGCGAGTTATTTATTAATACTCAAAATACAAAAGGAAAATAAAATTTTTTGACCGGAGGCTACTGACCCGATCTCTAGTCAATGAAAAGAACCAAATAAACAAAAAATAACAAATCGAGACACGAAGAAAAAGAAAGATATACGAGTATGCTAGCAACAAATGTATGTTAATCATTCTACGTCGTTTATTAAAAATTGTAATCTTAAAGTGTCAAATGGGACCATGATTTATAGGGATTGTTTTAGGTTAAGAGCCTGTTTGTTTCTGATTTCAAGCAAAATTTGTACCGTTGCTACAGTGTTATAACCACAATATCTGACTTATTTGTGTCATAGTGGGCCTCACAATTTTTTTTTAAAAAAAAAGGTCAAAAAAAGCCATTTCTTGTTGAAATAATTGGAAACAAACATGCGCTAAGTAATTAGGCAATTATTGATCATTTTAACCCCGCGTGTTTGCTTTAATAGTTCAAGTTAGTCTTTCATTTGGAGTCTACAAATATATGGAAAGTGAAAGGTATGACTTTGAAAGCTACATAATTAATTTCGTTTGACTAATATTGATATGGGAACTCAATGAAGATTGTGAATAGTTAAGCAAAGTCAATTAATTTGAAAAAAAAAAATTAGATTGTAAATAGTTAAGCAAGGTTTATTTGGAAGGTGGAAAAGTTAGATTGTGTATTTAGAAGTAATTAAATAGTTAATTAGATGGTACAAAGGCATTATCAAAAGGGTTAACAATAGTAATCAAATTAATAATTATTTGGCTGGCAACTTGTTTGTTGAAATATAAACATCTTTAAGAAAATCTAACACCTAATTACTCTTAGTGTGTCAAATTTATCATTAGGCAATGCATAGTTGGCAACAAAAAATTAAACTGTTGTTTACCCTCTTCTATTTTTTTTTTCTTTTCCTTTTTTCGATAAGAATCTCGATGACACGTTTAATATGTTGAACCAGGTCATCATAGATAAAATTAAAAAAGAAAAATAAGTTATAATATTATATATCGTAGTGTTAAGTGTTCTTATAAATGTATACCAAGCATGGCTTTTTATGTAGTAAATAAAGAAAACGAGTGTAAAAACTATTTCCAGAATTTTTGTTCCTCGATCTCCTGTAAATATTTTTATTACATTCCAGAATTTAATGTTTGATCGTGATTTTATTCCATTCAAAAAATAGAAAATTCACATAATTGGGATGATTTGGAAAATTAAATGCAGTAATTGATTCATAATTTTAGCCATTTAGACATGTAAAATGTGAATAATTTGTCCCATTGGATCTTGCATTATCAGTTCAATTGAAAAAAAAAATGCATATAGATTAAAGAATGACCCATATACCTAAAACATTAGGACCCTATTGGATAGAAATTATAATCTATATTTTTTTTTTTATCAAAGTTAACAATTAATTTTAATCTCATTTTTCATGAGAGTCATACATTTTCAACCACACATTTCATTAACTTTTAACAAAACTTGTTAAAAATTTGATTTTAATCTCCACCAAATAAGAATTATATAGTAACTCTTCCATCAGTGATTGAGTGCAAGGTTTGCTTGTCATATAAGGAAAAAAAACTCAATATGTGACTAATATATAATATATTAAATATCGCATCAAATGTGAATCATTTTTTGGATGATTTTAGCCCCACTACAATTTAATTATTTCAACAGTACCTTATTTTTCGTTTTTAATATATATTTAATGAATATTAATTATTAAACATGTACGCAAATAAATATTTGAATTGAATGAGAATAAAAATTGATTTATGAATATTGAATTTAATTAATTTGAATCAATGAATACAGAAAAAAGAATAATGTATATACATTTAAACAAATGTTGTGTAAGTGAACCAACATGGAATTTAATTAATTTGAATTAATAGATATAATAAATAATAATTTATATACATTTAAACAAAATGGGAGTAC